TGGAGGTGTCAGGAGGCAGGGAACAGAGTGGAGGTGAAGGAATCATGTGGCTCTAGGCAGGGGGGAGGGGCTTAGGACAGGAGGCTAGGGCTCAGGGTGGTAGGCTGGGAGGTCTGAGAACTCACCAGAACTTCCCTGTGGTGGTGAGGACAGTGCTGCACCCCCTGATTCTCCTCGTCAGGGGGAGGAGTGTGGTGCCCAATTCCAGCCACCCACTCAGGGTGGGGGCAGGCAGCAAGGGACTGAGGCTTTGGGAGGAAGCTCCTGGGGGATCAAGGCTGCAGTGCCCAGTTTGGGCTACTGATGGGGCTTGTTGCGGGGAGAGGGGAGCTGTGAAGCCTGGCCCCTGATGGTGCTCCTCCAAGGCTACTGACTGGTGAAGTTCCCCCTCGATCTAGTGCTGCATCTAAGGGCCCAGGGGGGTGGGTTTTGGGCAGCGAGGACCACTTACCATGGCCAGCATCATGAAGACCCCGGTCGCAGTTGGCCACTCTCTTCCTGGTGTAGCCGCCCAGCCCCTGTGCTCACTCTGCCATAGTTCTCCCTCTGCTCACTGCCCCCAGTGGTCACTTTGCAGTATAATTGTCCCTCCTATCAGCCCCCTCCCTTTCTGTGTTATAAAAAACAGTACCATTCCAGGTACATCCCATTTTCCTGGCACAACCAAACCCTGATCTTGCTTTAAGTTAGGATAAGAGGAAGCTGCATACCAAATTTGGTGATCCTGGCTCTTACCGTTTACAAGGAGTTTTTGAACAAATGGACTCACAGACAGATGGCTACACACAGACCGATAGAAAATGTTTCTAAAATGTATAGTAGATTTTGTACTCTGCATAGTTTAACTATATTTTCATATAGAGGCTAATAGAATATCTGTAAAATGTTCTAACACCTCTGAGTGAATTATGCAATACAAAAATAAATAGTAATGTATATTGTGAGTTGTGAGCATGCAAATAACTATTCTACTGATTATTTGGATAATCAACATAATATTATGCACTCAGAGCATCTTTAATTCAAGGTTCTTAGAGCTCTTCACAAAGGTATTTCCAGCATTATTACCCCATTTTACAGATTAATAGAGATTAACTGAAGAGATTTAAGTATTTTTTTCCCTAAAAATCATACAGCAAATTGTGGGCAGAGAAATGAACAGTTTTGCCACTCAGATTATCTCTGTGAGTCTAACCACTATACTATCTCTAGCCACACTGCCTCTGCTGTTAGTCTATGTTTTAACGTTAAATCACATATGAAGAGGAACGTATAACAAAACCCCACGTGGCACAACTATCTGCTCTTAGTGCATACACTTCTCTCTCTTGTATGCAGAGATATCTGTGTGCATGTCCAAATGTAGAAGAAAATAAATGCACACCTGTTTACATCCTCTTTTGATAATGAGACTCTTAAGGAAGAAGTGTTAATTATAAAATAATCAGCTCAAAGATTTTGGACTCCTATTGTGCATCTTATGGAATTTTGTGGGTGTTTTGTAATATACTGTGTTCAGTATGAGCAAAACATGCAATATTATAGGCAATAACAAGCAATATTTTATTTTATTTTTCTCTTTCTGGGTTTAGACAGACTCATTACTGTACTATGTAAGCATCTCATAAATGTGAATTAATTCATTCCCATAACACCTTTGAGGCAGGGAAGTATTATTATTATTATCCCAGTTTCACATTTTGGGAACTGAGACATACAAAAGATTTACACAAAGTCACTCACAACATTTGTGGAAGAGCCCAGAATTGAAAAGTTCTTCTGAAAAGTTAATTTCCCATAATCCTAGGCTGTGGCAACATTGGCATGATCTTGCGCAAATATTCTTTAATGCAAGAGTTCTTGCGTTAAAGTAGTTGCGCAAGAGAGCGTCTACACTGGCACGTGCCTTTGCGCAAGAGCATCTGTGCCAGTGTAGACACTCTCTTGCGCAAGAAAGCTCCGATGGCCATTTTAACCGTAGGGCTTTCTTGCGCAAAAAATTCATGTTGCCTGTCTACACTGGCCTCTTGCGCAAAAACAGTTGCACAAGAGGGCTTATTCCTGAGCGGGAGCATCATAGTTCTTGCGCAAGAAGCCCTGATTTCACACATTAGAACGTCAGTGTTCTTGCGCAAGAACTCCCCGCCAGTGTAGACAGGCAGCATGTTTTTGCGCAAAAGCGGCCGCTTTGGCGCAAGATCATGCCAATGTAGAGACAGTCCTAGAGTATACTGTAGTATTTTCCTCACCATGGATTTATTAAGAATCATTTGACCAGAAGTATATATAATGGTCTTATGAACAAATGTTGGAAATGTGTGATGTCACAGAGTCAGAAATTTGTTGGAGAATTCTTCTGATGGAAATATGGAAACTAAAATATTAACTATGATCACCAGGATGTATTTCTATATTTGTTACCTTTCTATGTATCTCATACTAAATTTGTACAAATAGTGCCAGCTATTCTGAATGAAGCTATCCCAGCAGCTACACAGCCTATTGATGCAGAGCTTCATGCTTCCCAAGATCTGGCATATCGCTACACAGCTATCTTGGAAATTATGCAGGAGAGCCCACAGAGAAATGTAGAACCTAGAACATCTATGTTAAAGGAAGCACTGTTCAATGTGAGGCAGCATGAAGTCTTCCTCTGTATCATTCTGGTGAAGTATCTCGTTATATCTTACGCATTCTTTAGGGTACCTTAATATGAAATTTCAGTGTGTAAGTTGCATTTTACAAAGTAAAATAAGGGTATATGTCTGAGGAAAGAAATCCTGGTGCTGTGTTTGAGCTATGCATCCAAAATGACAAAGTACATTTAATTCTTCAGGGATTCAGCCAGCCATCTGCAGGAGTCAGGAAAGGATTTTATGAATCCCCAATGTATTCTGAATGTTTTGTTTTATTTCCTCTAATGCATCTGGGATGGATACTGGTGGATGGTGAATAGGGAGGACCACAGCTATGAGTTAGCATGGGGCATTCTCTCTCTCAGGCACTTGGCTGGCTGGTTCTTGCTCACAGGCTCAAGGTGTAGTTGTTTGCCATGTTTGGGGTCAGGAAGTAATTTCCCTCCATGTTAGATTAGCAGTGACCTTTAGAGAGAGACAAAAATCCCTGAGGTGTGTGGGTATGGTCACTTACCAGGAATATCTCATTTAATTATTTCCCTGCTGGTGAGTGGGTGGGTGGCTCCTGATCTCTGCATGTGGTACATCATAATAGTCTAGTCTCCTATGGGTTGTAATATGTTGCTCTGATTTCAGTTATTGAGTGTAGCGTGTGGGTGGGTGCTAGATGGTGCTGGGACAATGGTGACTAGTGTGGTGGGATCTGGGAGGCCACTGGCCATGTGACACCCTCCCTGGGGAAGGACCAGGACAACCTTACTCTGCCCCAGCTCCACCTCTCTCCCCCCACTCCATCCCTGTCCTGCCTCTTCCCCCAATTGAGGTAGCCTGGAGGACTAGCGGAGATGGGGGGGACCAGTGCTGGCAGCAGGATTCCTACCTCCTCCCCATGCACTCACTGATAGTGGTGGGGGAAATAGAGCATGATGGCCCCAGCTTACTTTGCTTCCCCGGCCACATCTCTCCGTTTCCTGCTATGGAGTGGGTGCAGTCCCGCTTCCTTCCCTGGAGCGGTGTACTCCGGGAGAGTAAAGCAGCTTGGGCAGCCCTGCTCTGCTGCCCCGCACTGATGCTGGTGGGTGCGAAGGGCTGGACCTCTGCTAAGGGTGCCAGCTCCCTTACCCACAAGTTCCCCTGCTAGCTGGTGGCCCACCCCTCCTGCTAACAGTGTTTAAGGCATATGACGCCCCCACACATCACCTCTGGCTGGGGGCATGTGAGCTATAGGAGATCAGACTAGATGATCTAGTGACCCCTTCTGGCTGTAAAATTATTACTCTCTTTAAATGTTAAGTTTCATGCCACCACCACCCCAAAAGAGGCAGAATTCAAAGTCCCACACAGTTTCTTCTAGCTATTTATTTTTCTGTGACTGTCACATTCCTTACCTGAAGTCTGTTCTCTTTCCAGTCTGATGTGATCACATGTGCACAAGAAATTGAAATGATGGACAAGCAGTTTGCAGCCCAAATAGAGCAGTTAAAAAACACTGTTCAAGCAAAGACCGCTGTACCTACATCACAAGTTTTTGTAAGCATGTGAAATGCAAAAGTACTATGTTTGTAATTGGAAAAATCATTTTTGTTGTCTACAGTACTATCAAAATCCTTATGCTGCAATACTATGTGACATGGTTCACATAAATCTCATGTTGAATTAGGAAAAAAGTTGTTATTTTCTGTGTCTATCTAATAATAATGTTCCCCTTCAGGCAGTGTTCCCTGGAAATAGTTACCTTGACATCTAGTCATTTGCTTTTTTTAAAAAAAAGAGTTAAAAAGAGATTGTTATAACACCTGCCCTGAGTTGATTTGTCAGTAATTGTGATTTTTATGAATTAATTTTCCTATGTTATTTTTTTTTAAGTATTTGTTTTTCTTCCCTGTTGCTTTATCAAAGACAAAAAAACCTGACTGTAGGTGAACAGAGAAAATAATAATGGCAAAAGTGCTGTAAAATGCATAAAACAGCACTACCATTTTTATATAACCTTTTTCTTTATAGTAGCCTTAAATATTACTTTTAACAATGGTAGGTAAAAATATTCAGAGATGAGTTTTAAATTAAAGATGCTTCATTATTGTATTATGAAGGAATAGAACTAGCTCAGAGTCTTCTATCCGTATTATTTTGAAGCTAGGGCTAGTTTTTATTTGGGTTCCTATTTTTAGCTGGGAAGATATGTAATAAAATAGTCACTATATTGTCCACTTTTTGTCATAATTTAATGATGATGGAAGTTTTGGAAGGGCTCTTAAACCTCATGCTTCAGAGCTTAAGGTAAATATCTAACTATCAGAGAGCCTCTTGAGAAATTGGAAGGGAGTGTGGACTATAATAGCAGGGAAAAAGGGGGGAAAGTGCAGAACTGGGGGGCAAAATCAAATCAGTATCTCAGATGTATGTATACAAATTCAAGAAGTATGGGAGCTAAGCAGGAAGAACTTGAAATGCTAGTAAATAAACATAACTATGACTTAGCTGGTATCACAGAGACTTGGTAGGATAATACACATAATTGGAACATCAGTACGGAAGGGTACAGCTTACTCAGGAAGGATAGACAGGGAAAAAAGGGAGGAAGTGTTGCCTTATGTAAAAAATATATATATTCAGACTGAGGTTGAGATGGATATAGGAGAGAGTTGACTTCTGCTTGCTTATTAATAGATCCTAAGCAATTGAAAAGTTGTTTGGGCTTTAGTATCATATCCTCGGTTTCCATTCTGGAGCAGCTCATTATTAGACAGTCATCCAGGTATGGGAAGATGATGACTCCCTGACTCCGAAGGACCTTTGAGAAGACCTGTGGTGCTGAGGATAGGTCGAAAGGCAGGACCTTGTATTGGAAATGTGTGTTCCCAACCGTGAATCTCAGATAGTGTCTTTGGGCAGGATGTATTGCAATATGAAAATATGTATCTTGTAGGTCAAGAGCTGTGAACCAGTCCCATTTGTCCAGTGCTGGTATGATTGAAGCCAGTATGACCATCTTGAATCACTGCTTTTGCAGGAACTTGTTTAGTTTGTGGAGGTCTAGGACTGGTCTCTAGCCCCCTGTACATTTCTGGGTTAGGAAATAGATAGAGTAGAACCCCCTTCCCTGGTATGGTTTGGGTACTGCCTCTATAGCCCCTAGATAGAGAAGCCAGTTGATTTCTTGCTTGAGGAGTATCTCATGAGAGGGATCCCTAAAGAGGGACAGTGTAGAGGAAAGAGTATGCGGGAGGGAGATGAACGGAAAATGAGTATCCCATATGGATGATTTCTATGACCCATTTTTTGCATGTTACAGAGGCCCAGTGATGAAGGAATGGGTGTAATCTGTGGCTGAATAGATGTTTCTGGCTTTGTTGCACTGGATAGTCGGAGAGGTCGGGCATGCCCTCGACCAATGTTTCAAATTTGCTGCTTTGGGGCTTGGCCACCAGAGGAGCGTGGTTGTTGTTTGTGGTTCCTTTGGGTGCATTGTCTAAAACGATTGTACTAATCTGGTCTATATTGAGTATGGTTATAGTGCGAGTCCCTGTTTTTATTCTAGGGGGTATAAGGTCTGCACTTGTATGGTAGTGTGTACATTCCTAGGGACACAAGGTTGTATGCGAATTTTTACTGTTGTGCAGGATCTCATCAGTGTTGGTCATAAAAAGCTTGTGTTTGTAGAAGGGGAGATCTTCTACCTTAGACTGAAGTTCTTTTGGGACTCCCACGGCCTGAAGCCACGATGTTCTTCTCATTACCACAGCTGTAGCGGTTGTTCTCGCTGCAGTATCAGCAACATCAATTGCAGAAAGCATTGCTGTGTGGTCAATTGTGTGACCCTCACATAAGATTGCCCTGAGGATAGGCTTTTGGGTGTCTGGTAAATGCTTCTTAAGTCAGCTAATTTGGAGTGGTTGTCAAAGTTATGGTTGGCCAGATGGGCTTAGTAGTTCGCTATCCTAAGCTGCAGGGTGGCAGAGGAGTACACTTTCTTTCCAAATTAGTCTAGCCTCTTTTGTTCTTTATCTTGTTATTTGGTTTAAGGTGAGGGGCCTTTGCCCGTTGGCTTGCTGCATCAAAGACCAGTGAGTTTGGCCAAGGATGGAAGAACAGGAAGTCTAAGTCTTTAAGTGGGACAAAATATTTCCTCTCCGCCTTCTTGCAAATTGACTGGGCTGATGCCAGTCTTTGCCAGATGTCTTCAGACACTTCTATAATCGCCTCATCTATGGGCAATGTGATTCTGCCCTGGGATAATGGGCGAATATTCTTTAGGAGACAGTGTTGTTTCTCTTTAACCTCCTGTAATTTTATTTCTTGGGAGGCAGCGACCCTCTTAAAAACATCTGGAACTGCTTCAGGTCCTCTGTAGTATGTTCATCCTCACAGGCTATCGCCTCCTCTGGAGGAGAAAGCGGACTGTCTTGTGACTGCGCCAGCCGAGAATCGTCCTGATCGTCCAGTAATTGACTGTCCTCCTCCTCTGAGGCCAGCATGGATCCCATAGTGTGGCATGGTGAAACTGGCGGTAGCCTTTTCTGTGAGGATGGAGCAGTGGAATGGTATTTAGGTGGTGCCCGATAATCCCAAGGTGCCCAATGTGGCTGGTAATGAGGAGGTTGATAGTTCCACCTTGGATGCCCCTGCTGAGATGGGGTGGAAGATGAATGCTGAGAGGAGAATGCACTCCTCTGGTCGTAATTGATCTCCCTTGAGCGCCCATGTCCATATTGTGGTGGTGAATAGGATAGGTACTGTGCTGGAGACTGCTCCCTTGATGAGAGTAGGGAGGGTTGTCTTTGCTCACTAGTTTTCTCCCTGAGTTCCCTGCAGTTTGTGTTTCCTTTAAAACCTGTGTGGTTTGTCTGGGGGCTGAGAGCCTGTAGTGGGGGAGGCACTGGAGAAGATGCAATACCGAGTGGCGGCGGCGAGGATTTGTGGGGCCACTGCGGCTGGTTCTGCTTCTCTAACTGGTGCCGCACATTCAGGCTCTTGCTTCAGCACCGGAGTTTGTTTCCTGGTGCGGAGAGTGAGCATGCAGCTCCTATATGCATGGTCAGTACCGGGGCAGGTGATTCTTAGGCAGACCGTGGAACTGGAGGTGATCGCCACATCTCCCCTGGTTATTCTGGGGGACAGATCAGGTGGTAAGGACCTGGCAGGAGAGACCCTGGTCCTCTGATGTGCTTGAGGTGTCGGGGAGGCTGATCTGCGTTTGGGGTTTTGTGCCCCCTGATCCCATGCACGTTCTGCTGGAGGTTGTAACGCCTTCTCCATAAGGACATGCAGAGCCTAAGCTCCATGTCCGTTCTTGCTCTGGCAGACAAATTTTTGTAATGCTTACATTTTTGCAGGGTGTGTGATTTCCCTCCCAAACATCTGATATAGCAGCTATGACCATCTGAAGTTGGGATGGATTCACTGCAACTGCAGCATTTCTTAAAACCCTGTGAGCCAGGCATACTAGAGTTGTTGGGTTTGGGGGAGAGGCTCTTAATTCAATTGTCGGTGCGCTC